CCCCGAAACCTGAAGGCTCTGGAGGAGATCCGTATGGAGGAGTGGGCCAAAATCCCTGCTGCAGTGTGTGCAAACCTGGTCAAGAACTACAGGAAACGTCTGATCTCTGTAATTGCAAACAAAGGTTTCTGTACCAAATATTAAGTTTCATTTTTCTGGTGTATCAAATACTTATGTCACACAATAAAATGGAAATTAATTATTTAAAAATCATRCATTGTATTTTTCTGGATTTTTGTTTTAGATTCCGTCACTCACAGTTGAAGAGTACCTGTGATAAAAATTACAGTCATCTACAAGCTTTGCAAGTGGGAAAACCTGAAAAATCAACAGTGTATCAAATACTTGATCTCCCCACTGTAACTGTTAAATATAAAACAATTATTAAGTCAAACTTTTTTCCCTTTTTTTGCATGATGGCTACAGGCTCTTCCCAACATACTGGGAGATGATCGTTTCAAAGTGATGTTTGAAAATCCAGACTTCCAAGTGGACGAGCAGTGCGAGGAGTTCCGTCTGCTCAACCCCATCGTCTCCAAGGTGGAACAGAAGAGAAAGAAGAAGTTGCGTCTGCTGGCGGATCAGGCTGCCGCTCAACAGGTAACACTGATTCATGTGCCTTCAGTTCCTGGATTGTTTACTCCTCTTCAAGATTTTAATAACCTGTCCTTTTTATCTCTGTCTAGGAGGCTGAAGACGAAGAGGAGCYGGAGGGAAAAGCCAGCTCCGAGGAGGACAGCTCTGACGACGACAAGAGCTGGGTGGAGGAGGTGAGGGAGCAGCGGAGGTTACTACGGCAAGAGGACCGAGATCGCCGAAGGCAGGAGAGGAAGCAAGCTGACCGCAGCACCGTCCTGCTGGAGCAGGGGGACGGGGAAAAACYGTCCAACATGGCTGAGAGCAAACAAAAGAGTCAGCCACAGTTTTATCAGCTGAGAGCTGGAGAGGAGTTCACAAGCTTCAACAACATGGCGCACAAACAAAAGCTGCAGAAGTACGTGTTGAGTGTTTTTATTGAGAATACCTTTCTGTGCTTTACAGCTTCAATCAAGAATACAGAAATGTGTGAATTCCACAGTGTTTGCACTGCTTAGTGGACTTGGACTGATGATTGTTTGGGTTATTTGTTAGGGTTTCTCTGGAAGACCGGCTGAAGTTGGAGGAAAACTCAGGAAACAACAGCGTGGCCGACACAGCAGTGGGCAGCAAACAGCTGACCTTCACTCTCAAAAAGGTACCAGATGATTTTTGCCTGTTGCTCCTGTTGCTCCTGTAAATGTTTCTGATTGTTTCGCTTCAGCACAGCGACCAATATAACACAATATATGAACTATAAAAAGTGTTGCAGTCAGTGGGTTTAAGGCAGTGGCTGGCAGATCTAGAAAAATTTCCACGGGGGGGGGCAAAGGTGGGGCAATGCAGGATCACTTCACTGAAGTACTGTACACAAAAAAWTTCCTATATCTAAATAGTGTCAACAAAACATTCATAAAAACACTTTGAAACACTATTTATTGTCCTTTTTCCCTTCTAAGAAACAAATCTATACTAAACTAAACTACTATACTATACTAAACTAATCTATTGGTAAATATTTATTTTAAAGGTTGTAATGGGCTTTGCCCCCCTGTAGATCCGCCCCTGATTTAAGGTGAAGAGAAGAAATTGTCTTACAGGTCATCACCAAGTGGTTTAAAAGTCGATAAAATCAAACAGAAATAAAATAGATTTGCTATTTTACCCTCCTCTGTGCAGTCGGAGCAGCAGAGGAGACAGCAGCAGGCGGAGCGGGAACATCACAACGAGAGGAAGAAGCTGAGGCGCTCAGCCGGACACCTGAGCAGCAGCAGAGGAAGAGGAAGGGGAAGAGGAAGAGGGCGCTTCTGAAGAGACTGCTTGGACAGATGAGACAGAACTGTCCACAAACTGAAGTCAAAATAGTTTGGCGTTTTTTTTTCCTTAAATTCACCTCTAAGCAGGAGGGGAGAGTTGCAGATGAACCGCAAGACCAGAAGTATTCTGACAAATGAACTGGGTGATTTTTAATCCTCTCTGCAAAATCACAGCATCTTTAAAAATAATTACCTCTGTCAGTTTCTGTAGAAATGTAAAACCAGACGGGGATACTGCAGATAATTTAACAGGGATGACCACAAGGAACTGAGTGTTGAGATTCTGAAAGACTGAGTCAATTTCAAACAGAGAGTGGATAAAATGTATTTTTATCCTGTTTGAAAATGTATATTGTCAATCTAACWCTGAATTACTTTTACAATATATTCTATTTGGTATAAAATTTACCTTTCTGTGTTGTTTTTTTGTTGTTTAAGACTAATGTTTAGATTTTTTAACAATGCAAGTGCATCAAAAAGTCCGTAGTGTGTCTTTATATACAGTCGATTTCTACTCAAAAACAAGAATTATTAAATGCAGAGAGAGAGAAGAGCTCATGTCCTCCTTCCTCCCAAGTTATATTGCCAGGATAATTCCTGTCATGTTGAATGCACAACATGTCCTTCAGAAAGCCCGGAAACTTGTGCTGATTTTAAACGCCTCTGATGTCAGCGTGCTTTTCCCCCTAAGACCAGTTCGTCACGTTCTGTAACAGAAAGTTCCAGTAAAATTATCTTTTTTTTTCACCCTGAGATTTTTAATTTTACAGCCCAGTTTACTATTTACGCAGCCTTTAAAGGAAATTTGTAATTTTTTTTAAGTCACTAATATAATTTGACAAGTTGATCGTCAGCTGCTGTCTGAATGGCATTTTTTTCTACTTTGAATTGTTGCTTTTTGTGATTTGAGCACACATGCGTTCAAACCTCCCAATCTGCAAACAGAGCAGGGTCAGTATTTCAGACATGTTTGTGGAATAAAAAGACCTGTTGAGATTGTCCTCAGTACAGTGGATGAGTGAGTCCTGATGACAGATCCACAATCTCGTTTCCTGTCCTGTGTTGTGAGTTTTTCCTGTGTTGTGAGTTTTTCCTGTGTTGGGACATCAGCAATACTGTTTCTGTGTGCAACAAATGAGCTAAATGTCATGCGATGTTGTTGCAGGTAAATCGTCCTCTTTTTCTTTCACAGTTGTTTGGTGTTATCATGACGAATGACGATTCGGACAGGGGAAGTTTGGCWCCAAAGGCTAAAATAAAGAAATATAAACTAAAACAATACAATTTTAAGTCTCCATCATATGAGACAGTTTGTGTGTAGAGGCATCCTCAAGGTTTACACTTCAAGAAAAACCTTGAATTTGATTTGTAAGATTTATTTTCAAAAGAATAATAATGATTGCAATAGTAATTACATTTGTTTAATATGTAAACTCTAAAGCTTTAAGTTACTCCAAAGGTTTATGATTCTAGATTTAATCTTTGTTTACATATTTGCACTTTTGTCCCTGGGCCTTCCATGCTTTATGAGCAAATAACCAAACCCTGACATTAAATGTAAAGCTGCAGGCTTTCTCTGTCCTATGTTCCTGCAAATGGATCAGATGACTAGAATGTGCTGATGCAGCCATTTTAACACAGAAACACAAAAGATATTCCAGTGGAAATATGGTCACCACCTTTTTTTTTGTCCCCATCGCCACACAGGCGAAAGCACAAAATCTTGGCAACTTGGCACCAAAAGTAAAAATGAGTCGGCAGTCAGTTTAAACATTASGACAGCAAAAGACAAAGTAGGGCAGCTGGTGTTCTTTTACAAGAGAAGAAAAAAAAAGTCTGGTAATGTTTTGATGCAATTATGAGCTGGATAATATTTTCTTTAAAATGTAGCCGAAGGCTGATGTCAGCCTTGAGAATGAACCGGCCATGAATGAGTTCAGTCAGCAGTCATCCACAAGAGCAACGCTTTAATCTTTTTTTTTTCTTATAAAGTCTTTGTGGCARCATGCCTGACGCCACAGCCAAACCTAAATTACAAGTAACACATTATTTGGGTTCAGAGAAAATGTGAGGTTTTATCTTTACTGTTTCCTTGAAATATGTATCTGACACTAAATAGCCTCGGTGTTCCGTCTCTCATTAGCTTTATTCTATTCCAGCCTGAAATGACTTATCAAATACTATATTAACTTTATATTAATATGAAGTTTTAAACTTTTAATTCTTTTTTTTTTTTACTGTTTGTATCCACACATTTTGCTTCTTGTGACTTCAACTTGACCACAGACTGCAGCTGCATCTGTTCAAATAAACCTAAAGCCATGTTTGGGTGTCTGGGTAAGTCCTAAATGTTTATCTAAATTCAGGTTAAGCCTTATTGGATTTTGCTTGTTAACCTGTTAACACCTGTAATCCCCGACATCTGACAGAACACTACTTCTGTGAGTAATTCAGCTCAAACTAATGAATTACTCGGTTGGTAACTGGCTGAAACCAGTCAGTCGTGATGTGATCACCGGACAGCTTTTATAAGCAGTCGCAACTGACATTGAAGGAAAGGCCAAGCACGTACTTGTGACTACCACAATTATTTCCAGCAATTAACTCAGCATGGAAATTATGCATGAAAATAGTTATTAAGATTTGTTATTCACGCTGATCTGAAGCACACAATAAATATGTACACTAGAGGACAGGGCCGGCCTGCGGCATGGGCAGTATAGGGAAATGCTAAGGGCACTGTCCATTAATGGGGGCACCATAAATAAAGGACAAAAATATATTTTATACCTTTTTAGAGTATAGTTGGTTTAGTTTGTAGAATAGTCACTGGTTACTCAGGTTTATGAAGGTAACTTGTTCTTTGTGTTTCTCTTTGTTACTACATGAAGTGTTATTTGGTGCGGAGGATATTTTGCGATAAAAGTATCATGATGCAGTCAAGACTGATGCTACGGATAATGAAAGTTTCAGTTATGATTTCAAGTAAAGTTCAGGCTAAAGTGCAGTTTTTGGTTTTCTACTTTCAGAAAATACTGATTTTATGTTGTTTTGTTAACCCCAAGAATTTTGTAAAATGTTCTTCAAACGGCTCAGAATTCGTCGTTTTGATTAGATCTTTTACTAAATTTACTGGGGGAGTATACCCCTGGACCCCCCTAGAACTACTTCACTCCACAGTTGCTGATTGACATGAGCAGTTGTTCCTTGAGGAGTCATTGCTGTCAGCAGATGTCAGGTATGAAGTAGACTTCTGGTATTCTGTTTCAAATGGTATATAATGTTAACTATTTTAATTGGACAATCTGGTTTCTAAAGCTAATAAATAATATCAAAGACAAAACAATTTAATGTGGTATGTGAATGTATGTAAATTGGCAGTGAGATTTAGAAAACTGCCACCTGAAATCTTGCTTTGGTTGCCAAACTAGGCAGGGCCCTCTCTATTTGATTGTTACAAAATAGGACTGCAGCAGCTGATTGTGAAGCCGAACTGATAAAGAAATATAACAGAAAGCTACAGTAACATTCTCAAGCCCACTCACACAAGTGTGGGGGGTTCAGTGACAGTCCTGACTCCTGTATGGTGCTGAGGCCTTGCAGATGTGGGGGCTGGGCCACAATGGTCCACAGTAACTAAAACAAACTCTACAGAGAGGCAGACATTACAAGAGGAAAGGAAGGACAGGGGTCCAGGTGAGGGTAACCATGCATAGCCTACAGAATGGAAAATAAAACACTGCAAAGAGGTGGGACAATTTGATTTAATGTTTTTTTTTAATCTTGTCTTGTCAAATTGATGAAAATTTGTTAAAAATGGATTTGCCCTTGGGAGTGCAATGACTTCCTGTCTGGTTTGCATGAGAAATTAGCCCAAATTTCCACATGATTGTATATTTTCATCAGTAAAATCTCCTTTTTTCTTACAAAATTAAGAAATGGCTGTGCTTAATGGTTTCTAAGAACTGAAGTTCTTGGTATGAGTGACTTCATTCGCCAACCCTGCAGTAGCTCTGAATGGAAAACTAATTGTGCACGGGCAAAAATCTTTATTGTGGCCTCAAGACCTGGGAAAAATATTAAGCCCACGGATATGTGGTCCTTAAGAAGCCCCAGTGTTTCCTCTTAGTGTCTAAGAACTGATGCCTATGCAGGATTTCCACATGTGTTTAAGTCAAACTAACCAAATTCTTCATTTTCCTCCATTTGGTAATGTCTGCTTTCAAACCAAACGTCTGTGAACGGCAAGCTTTGGACTGATTAGACTGTGTGGTAAGAGGGGTTCTGGTTTAAAATAAGCATTTTTACTGCTTTACTGCTGCACACTATTTTCAGTAGCTTACAACAGCATGTGATTTTCTATTCATAGAAAACATTTACTGTATAAATGTTAGTTTGGAACATGCGTCACAACTGCAGGAACATTTTTAAAACGAGTGCACGAATTAAATATATAGACTAACCCCATTCCCAAAAGGTTGGAAAGTTTTCCAAAAATGCAACAACTTTTTACGAGCCAAGGATGAGAAGGACCACACAGGCTGCTCTGTGTGAAAGGCGTAAAAGCCATCATTTGGTCTGATGCAAGGGAACATAAGTGTGGCACATCATGAAGAAGAGACTCAAACAACAAGGACAACTGAGCAACTTAAATCCTCTTATTTAGTAGAACAAAAGAATCATCTTTAAGACTGCAACAATCCAACTCTCCAGGATTGTTGTGACACACATGTCAATTATCCTTCTTTAATCTTATCAAGCCCGTCAGCAGCTCAGAATGAATCGGAGCAGACTCTCATAGAGGCAGATCACGTTACTGAGACATTGTTGTCAGAAGCAGCAGATTGTTGCAGGCTGCCAGGCATGACTTGGCAACTCTGGGATTAACTGAAATGCAGTGCAGGGTTCTTGAAGGACAGTGGATCAAGGTGAACTCTTTTGTGCTGACCCCCTCACCAGCTAATGTTTCTGTAAAACCTTGCCCCGCCGGCATTTTGTTGATATCCGAATGCTCCAAAACAGCCAAACCTGCATATTATTTGAGGTGCTCACACTTGCAAATGATCAGTTCATCAATGCACTCTGCTATTAATTCATATGGACATAAAATGTATCCTAAGTAGACCTTAATTTTTAGGGTAACCACATCAACTCTACTGACTGTGTGTGCAGACGTGTGCATTCTGATTATCTTGAGTTGTTTACAGAGTTCTAGTAATCAGAGCAGTCCTAAAGTCTGACAAATTATTAGAAAATAAAGAAACAGAAAAATGTTTGAAGTCATCAGTCAGACTTTCTTTATTGTATAAGTCTATGTTTATCATTTTTATGTAATCTCTTCTGTGTATTTTTTTGATAAGTGACAGACGAGAGAATCCACAAAATCATTTCCACCCCTTTAGAATAATGCAAGTCAAAATCCAGCTCTTATATATTAAAGGTTTTTTTTTGTATTGCACTTTTTAAAGTGACCTTAAGCAGTAGGCCTCTAATATTGTTCTGAAAGTGTTTGAAATCATACATTTTGAAATGCAGTTTTTAAACCTACATTAAGAATTGCATCAACTCAGTTTAGCAAAAATAATGTTTTTAAATTGTGGACAACACAAATGAGAATGTCTTTCTTTTATGGCTTTTCTAGCAGTGTTGCATAAAGTACCACAAAGTGATACTTGAGTAAAAGTACAAGTATCTTACCAAAAAATTATTTTGGTAAAAGTTAAATTCTTCTTTAGGAATATTAATTGAGTAAAATTCTTAAAGTATCTGATATTTTTTTGTACTTAAGTATTAAAGTAAAAGTATTGATTTAAAATGAGCAGTTCGATTTTACATAATGACATTTATTAAGATGTGACCTCCCCCCAAAAATGCAGAAATACTATGTTGTATTAAAATAAATAATTTATGTTAAATTTAGGATGCACTCTAGCTGTATCAGTTTATATACAAATATCAAGGCTGCACAAACCTTTTCCCCAAAATAAAAATCTATCTGAGGGCTGCGGCCAAATGCAATAATATAATTCCAGAAATACAAATACTTCTTAAGTACAGTCCTTTCATTTTAATGATTACATCCTGCTGGAGTGTGACATGATTTGTCTGTGTACAAACTAATACGATATCAGAATTTTATATATTTATACTTCTCATTCAACCACAATTAAATTCACTCTAGGAGGCACAATTTATATGGACAGTAGGATTTTTTACGATAAGTAGCTGCAAGGAAAACAAGCAAAAATTAAATAAAAGTAATGACTTTCTACTTGCTTTTTAAAAAAAATGTAAGTAGAAAATACAGATAACTGTGTGAAAATCTAAGTAGAAGTAAAAAGTAGGCTGAAAAATAATTACTCAAGCATACAGATACCCAAAACTTATACTTAAGTACAGTAACAAAGTATTTGTACTCAGTTACTTTACAACTCTGTTTTCTAGTTACCCATTTAAAAAAAAATCCAATTTAAAATGGCTTGTTTTTTTACACTGCAGCATTTATTGAGTTTGTTTCTTTGAATGGCTTAGAACAAGACTGAAAATCAATGAACAGTCAAAGTCCACATTGTTTTAAAGACAATCAAAAAACCTATAGAAATTAAGAGTAGTGTGATTTCTTTCACACTCTGACCAAAATCTATTGTTTTAGATAAAGATCCCTTGTTTTAAGACATGAGATGTTCAAAGTGCAGCGCAGTGGCAACATCTAGGCTTTTAAAAAAAACAAAACATTAAAACAATCCGCATCCACAGTGGCAGTCTCTTTATATCCCACCATGTGGATGAGATGACAAGCCAAAACCGGTTCCTACGTGGATGGTAGGCCGGTTTCAGCTGGCTGCGTTGCTCTGGTAACGGACCCTCTATAAATACTCCGAGGCTCCTTCGCCTCTWTCCAGTCAGTCAGGCTACACCTCCAAGCAGGGGCACTTCGTCGTGAAGGGGAACTGCTTTTTAAAAACCCATCTCTCTGATCTAATGGACAAACTCTTTATAAATGCTTTTTAAGGTAAGCATATAGTTTTTGACGGGTTTTTTTTTCTACCCGTGTCTTGTAATTTAAGTCAGCTCTGCTGTAGTACGTGGCCGGCTTGACAATCGGTTGATTAGCTAAGCTAGCATTCTTCTTTGTTTCCTTTTCGATGTAGCAGGCGGGACTGTGTTATATATTGTTAGTGTTTTAGGACTAATAAATATGGYTTTATTCAGTGTTAGGCGTAATACCGTTATAAACTGATTTGTCTGTTTTTACGGACTGTTTTATAACCATTTGAAACGCAATGAAAATTGCCTCATGGCATGAAGAGCTCCAAGCGGAACCGGCGTATTGACGTCAGGGAAGTAGTAGTCGCTGATTGGCCAATTGTCGCTCATTCATTTTGAGTCAAGGGTGGATCCCTGTTGCGATTCGTTGAAAGGGGMAAATGGGCGTGGCTTAAGCGCACTCGTCTTTCAATGACTTTTCCGGTGCCAAGTTAACGTGACAGTTATAAAATGGAGCTGTGTAAACTCAAYAAAACCACAGAAAATCATGTTTTTATATTGTGGACCATTTTAAGCAGAGTTTCAGTACAGTTAAATYTCTGAGTTCATACTGGTGAAGTAATTTACGTTTAGTATGACTTCATTAACCTTCCTCCTTTTAATTTTTTTTTATAGAATCTTCACTCAAGGAAGTCACACTCCAGTTGCTCAACAGGCCCTGGCCTTGAGTCTTATTTAAAGGGATTTAATTTCAGTGGTGAGCCCCCTTGGCTTCACTGCACCTAGGTCACAGCAGTTCTCAATCCTGTCTCTTTCATATCCAAGTAAGTTGATATTTTTTTCTTTTTCCTCACTCAAATGTTTTAGATATTACTCRTATACAAAAGATGCTGACAAAGCTGCACGTCATTCATTTTTCTTCCAGTTTGCACAAAAACAAATATCAGGATGACCGCTGCCRCAAACACAGATTTTGAATTCTCTTTCCTCGAGGAGGGTTTTTCTGCTCGGGACATTGTTGAGCAGAAAATCAATGAGTCATCTTTGACGGTATGCATCCTGTGCTGGCATTGTTTATGCACTACTCAGCTTGCCCCCATTTGTTTTGCAATGATGTCTTTTTTTAAATTATTTTATTATATTTGGCACTGTAGAGTCACCTAAATAAGTGATTTATTGCACTGTGTTTCTGATAAATACAAGATGATTACAAAACTGACTTTTACAAAGTTAATATTTTATYCTATTACAGGATGACAGGGATGCTTTTTATGTCTGCGACCTGGGAGATGTCCTAAAGAAGCACCTTCGCTGGGTGAGGGCACTGCCTCGCATCACTCCATTCTACGCTGTGAAGTGCAACGACAGCCAGGCTGTAGTCATGACTCTGGCATCCCTGGGAACTGGCTTTGACTGTGCTAGCAAGGTGTGTTTAGAAGGATTCCACTGGTGCTCTTGGTGTGAAGGAATAGAAAGCTTTCTTAAACATTGATGAAACTGCATTAGTGTCTTTTTTTTTTTTACTGATATTTTTTTTTCTCTCCTGCAGACGGAGATTCAGCTGGTTCAGTCTTTGGGAGTTGATCCAAGCCGAATCATTTATGCCAACCCCTGCAAGCAAGTTTCTCAGATAAAGTATGCGTCTTCGCACGGCGTCCAGATGATGACCTTTGATAGTGAAGTGGAACTCATGAAAGTGGCTCGTTGTCACGACAATGCCAAGTAAGACTCGTAGGCTTTTTAGGTAAAATTTGTAGCTTTTCCTTCGCTTCAGTTTGGTCCTTTTTTTTTTGTACTTTTTGTAAATGCCGTTTCTGTTCTGTGCCCAGACTAGTGTTGCGTATCGCCACGGACGACTCAAAGGCAGTTTGTCGTCTGAGCGTGAAGTTCGGGGCCCCCCTGAAAGCCTGCCGGGGTCTTCTTGAGCGGGCCAAGGAACTGGGGCTGGATGTGATCGGCGTCAGCTTCCACGTGGGCAGTGGCTGCACTGACGCGGAGACCTACGCCAAAGCCATCGCCGACGCCCGCTGCGTCTTCGATATGGGGGTGAGTTGTGGCTAAAAATGCACGCGCAGTCGTATTTCTTAAGCGYTTGCGCTGAAAGCTGAAAAATGCGATCTGCAGGATGAACTGGGCTTCAGCATGGATCTCCTCGACATCGGAGGCGGTTTTCCTGGCTCTGAAGATGCTGAGCTCAAATTCGAAGAGGTAGCAAACTGCTTTTCTTTCTTCTTTTTTTTTTTCCGTTAAATATAGCTCGATAATCAGTAGCTTTCACACGCTAAAAGTACTTGCTATGTGGGCGTGGTCATGACTGAAACTTTCCATTATAGATCACCGCAGTCATCAACCCGGCCCTCGACAAGTATTTTCCTGTCGACGCTGGCGTCAGGATCATTGCCGAGCCGGGGCGGTTCTATGTGGCGTCCGCCTACACATTGGTTGTGAACATCATCGCCAAGAAGGTTATCATGGATGATGAGTCGGCTTCTGACGGTAACTGCCTTTAATTCGAAGGACAATCCACATACTTAAAGTGCCTTTACTGGGAAAGTTTTGCTTTTATTTGTTGTTTAAATGATTTGATRTTTATTGCAGAGGAAGACGAAGCGAGCAGTGACCGGACTCTGATGTACTACGTCAATGATGGGGTGTACGGYTCCTTTAACTGCATACTGTATGACCACGCTCACTGTTTGCCAACGCTGCACAAGGTTTGTAAAATGCAAAAGTGCTGCCGTACATAAACACGAATGGGGGGGGAAAAATCAAAGGTTAACCTCTCCGTTTTTTTTCCCCTCTAAAAGAAGCCAAAGCCTGATGAGGTCATGTACCCCTGCAGTATCTGGGGTCCAACGTGTGACGGCCTGGACCGGATCGTGGAGCAGTGTTACCTGCCAGACATGCAGGTGGGTGACTGGATGGTCTTTGAGAATATGGGTGCTTACACCGTCGCTGCGTCCTCCACCTTCAACGGCTTTCAAAGACCCGACCTTTACTACGTCATGTCTCGACCTGCCTGGTGAGAAACCGCTTTGAGGACATTTTTATAGTTGTAAAAGTCTTTATAGCATCTAACTCCTTTTTTTTTCTTTTCGTTTAGGCAACAGGTTCAGCAGATTTGCTCTCGGGGCCTGCCAGCTTCTGCWGCAGAGTCTCACCTGGTTGACGTGCCAGCATGCTGCGGGCGAGAGACCAGCTTGGAGGTTCCAGCTAAATCCTGTCACAAACGTGTGGTTTAAACATGCAGCAGCATTTTTTAAAATGTTTTTATATCTTCAATAACGATCAGACAAAGTTCTCTCCAAACTTGACACTTTTAAAGGTCAGGTAAATAACTGGAGAATGAGAGGAACATTGTTGCACACATTTCTGCTTTCTGTTTGAAAGCTGGGGATCAACCTTCAATGGAATGAGGCTGAATCACACTTGAATTGTCTCCGTGGGGTTTAAACAGGATGAAATGGGACTGATTTTTACTTGAATTAGTTTCTGCAGTTCTCTATCAATAATCACTGGGAAATTAATAACTGAGTTTCCTTTTAATAATAATCAAACCACTGTAAACTCAAACCTGTGTCAGTACAGTTGCAAACAAGAATCATTGATCTCTGTTGTATAAAASAGGTCATTTTATTACTTTTAGGGATGCACCGATACCCCCACCCCTCAGAGTAGGAGTACTTCGGTTTGGGTACTTGCTGAAACTGAGTACTGATACAGAGTACCTATTGAACTTCACCGTCATGCCAGATAATTATTTAATCTGCTCTGATTCCACAATAACTTCATAATCAGCATGCTAACATGTAGCATCCATAGGCTACTTTTGTAAACAGCACGCTGAATGCAGCGTCATGTTATCTTCTGTGCATGTGTGGCACAGCAGCTGCATAAAGCGTYCACACTGGCGTGTAATGGGGGGTTACATTTGAAATGTGTGTCCACACAAAAAAAAAGTGAAATGGGGGGGATTTTGAACGAGTACTTGTACAAAAAGCTGATATCTGTGTATTCTTAATTGCTTTATCAATATCAAATATATGTTGGCTCASAAAGAGGTGGTCAGATGTGTACTTCAGTTCCTCAAGTAGCTGCTATATTTTTTTGTTTCCATGATCTCCACTTCAGTACTGAGCCTTTCAAGTGTTAGTTCTCAAGATCTCTAGAAGCACCACATAACTTATGGAGATAAATATTTTAGTGTCTGGTCCATGTTGACTRTATGATTCAGTACACTTGACTCTTGAGAGAAATATCTGTTTTTCACCTGTCTAATATAAAAGTCTTAAAGATGAACATTTCAAACACAGGGACTCAAAAAGCAGACTGTACCTTTCCTCTTCTCCTTCCTGCTTTTATATTTTTGTCTTAGACTGATTATGCATTATGTAATATTAAGACTTGGACACAGTTTGATCATGCATTTAAACTGGATATGAACGAGACGGGATTGCACAATATTTCTTTCCTATGGAAACTTTTTGGAGTTTTGTATTTTTTTATTAAATAAATCATTAGGTGCAGAGCCAAATCATGAATGTGTTGTCTTTATTTACAGATGAAACTAATAAGCATCAATAATGTTGCAATTTCCATGGCTCTAATACGATGTTGAGCTTTGAACAGATCTGAATGGTGACAGTTATATAAAAATAAACACTTATTTTAACTGGGTTATAAATAATCACTGACATCAGCTTTGACCCGCTTTGACCTTATGAACACCGGTGGAATGTGCCAACATAAAAAGTTGACCTGATGAATCACTTCAGTGTTGCAGTAACAGTTTTTAACCTGATGGGGGAGCCAGAGTAGGTTACATATACGCTCATTGGATCACTTGATTCTTTTTATTTGGAGTTTTATCAATGAAATAATTACACAAAATGCTAAATTTTCAACTTTACGAGCAATCTTGGAAAATATAAATCACCTAACCACAAATAAATCTAACATGAGTTAAAGCTTAAAATGTTTTGTCTCCCCTACATGTGAAGGCATTGCTCAAAATCATTTAATTATTGAACAAGAAAAGAAGCTACATTGGCAAATACAACAATCTACTTAACGTGCAGAACTTCAGACGGGTATTATTTGTTCATTTGCATGTTCCTTTTAGCCAAAGCTACAAAGTTTTTTTTTGTTTTGTTTTTTTTTTTTAACAGGAAGACTCAATTTTGAAATTTTCCATTTAGCTTTATCCCGTATATACCTGACTTTTCCTATCCTTTGAGTACACGGAATTCCCTGACATCTTTCTGTCATTCCATTACAGAATGTGCTAAATATAAATGTGACCGACTAAATATGTTTCTCTGAAAAGATTTATAAAATGCTGATGTTAGTATAAACGTTGAGCAGTGAATTTATGTAAAAGCATTACTTAATTGGCATTTATTTAATTCAAGACCTTTATTTTTCATTTAAAACAAAAAAATTGAATACACAACAAAAAGTACAAATCTCAAATAAAATGAAAAGCAGCAGAAAGAATAATACATTAACTGCCCATTAAAAATAAAAAAAATTCAAATAATCAAGTAACAAAACAAAAACTTAAACTCCTTCTCAAACAACAGCTCTAATGCACATTATACAATTTCATATTTAAACTAACTTTGATCATTTTCTTAAACAAATTCATTGAATCAGCATTTTTATATTAACTTAATTGTAGGAGCTTATTGACGAAGAGCTCAAAGAATCTAACTTTGTAAATCATTGAGCATTTCACTGAACAGTTAGTTGTATTTTTTTAAGGAAAATGTGTTCATAAAATGTTTCAGAGCTAAGAGATAACCT